AAAAAATCAATAAAATAGGAATGCGAACGTGGACCGAAATATAAATAAAATATAATGGGATGAAAATCGAGATTCAAAGAAATGAATTAGAATGAAAAGGGAAATTGAAATTGAAATGCGAATTAATAATAAGAATGAGAATATAATTAGTCTCAAATCACACACATTTTTTTTTTTTTTTTTGGGTTCAAAGAAATCACACTTAGTTTAGACGACTCTGAATAGCATTGCTCTTAACTCGATTGTTTGGTTTTGATGCTTGTGACTTGAGATTTGAATTTTGGGTCAAGCCTAGATGTGAAGTTCGACTGAGTTATTGTGATGTAAGAAATTGAAAGAGTTTTAGTGGTATTTATCTCCGCTTAATTGGAATAAACTTGAAAAACAAAACTTAGTTTATGTAATGCATTAATAACATTGTTTTAAGAGAGAAGTTGCTAGCATTCCCCAAATCTATATTGGCGAGGAAGAGTCGAACACATTACCTTAATCGAACACATTATTTATTGTAGAGTCATGAGTGAGGGTCAATTAATGAGATTAACTAGTTTTAACCATCATTAAGCACTAACTATACCCTTGTCTCCCTTAAACTTGTCAGATTGGCTGTAAAAACACAATGGTTTTCTCAAATCATTCTTCGCGCCAATTTCTTTCTCAGACTCATGTGTAATGGAAACATTTGCTGGTTTATTATACAGTTATTTTCAACATTGGACTAACAAAGAATTTAGTACTGTGAGTTCATATAGTATCTTTTGAGTTTTCAAATTAAGAGCAGACACATTTCTGCACTCATTAAATAATTAGTGTAATTTTTCTTTTGAAATTTCAGATTTATTGATAGAGCATATAGTATCTTTTGAGTTTTCAAATTAAGAGCAGACACATTTCTGCACTCATTAAATAATTAGTGTAATTTTTCTTTTGAAATTTCAGATTTATTGATAGAGCAAAAAGATTCAACTAAGATCGCGCGGGGATACCCTGGGAAACCAAAAAAAAAAAAAGATTCAACTAAGTCCAGTGAGAAATTAGGAAGGAAGAACCCACAAAAAACAGGAAAAGCTAAAATGAATTCTGCAGGAAAAAAATGAAGAAGCAATGGCATTGAAGTATATTCTGCAGAAAGCCTTTCCTAAACCAAACAACAGATGGAAAACAAGTAAAACGCATAGCAACATAATGTAGGAAAGAAACTAACTGCAACATAATGGAGATCCTCAGTTGCTCCAAGTTTTTTTTGAACCTGTTTACCTTCATCGTCTAGAAGGCGATTCAAACTTGGAACTTGTATGCGCATGGTATTACGACTAAACAAAAGTAAACAAAAATTAGGACAGAGGCCTACAAATGCTTTAAGACCTAATATAAACAAAACCATTTTCAACAAATACTACCCAAGGATTCTGCAGAAGTAAAAGCATTGAAATGGTGAAGTAAAAGAACACGAAAAAGTAAAATGAATTTTGCAGAAGTAATGGCATTGCAGATTCAAATGATTCAAATGATTTAAATCCAATATGGTAGCTTATTTATAAACCTGCCACTTGTGGTGTGTTGAATGGAATTCAAGGGACTGTACAAGTAGCAAATATGACACCATTCCTTTTCCAGAATTAGGCAAACACAGGACTAATAAAAAGAACTCCGGGCTATAATAGTTATAAACTTTGCATCATTCACCTAGTATATAAATTTGAATTTTTTTTTTTTACAATTTCGTGGTTATGAACTTGAAATGAATAATTTCAAGTGATCGACTTTACAAATAAAACAAATACAAGAATAAAGAATCCTAATGTCCAGCTGGTATCTGAAGACCCGGTAGGGGATTAATTCTGGGAACAGTGGCAGTGCTTGCGCTGTAATCTGCTTTCAGTTTGAAGCAAGAGACACCATACGCATAGCCCAAAGATGAGTTGACCACCTTCAACTTGGCATGACCCGCTTTTGATGGTTGAGGTGGCGCTACGAATGGATGAGACAAGAGCCTTTCCGCTGTTGATCTTTCACAGGACCTCATGGCAAGGCAATTCTCGAGAAAATCCCTGGCCACATCTGACATCTCAGCCGGAATTTTGGAAGTACGTAGATGATCAAACACCGTCACGTCGACGGAATTGTCAAGATCACAACCAGGCTTCAAATCCCAGGGGGAGTTTCCGGTTAGCATCTCAAACACAATACAACCAAGAGCCCAAATATCACAGGACTGATCTTGTTTGTTATCAAATAAAGCCTCTGGGGACAGATACCTAGGAGTGCCTCTCCATCCACTATAGTTGTCCTTGGTTTTCTTAGCCAACCCAAAATCTGCAATCTTGGCTACAAAACTAGTAATAGCACCAGAACTAGCTGTAGTGGTAGTGGTAGGCACAAGCAGAATGTTGTCCGGCTTCAAATCGCAGTGAACATAGTCACACTTGTGAATGTGTCTAATCCCTTCAAGAATTGACCTTGTATATCTTCTAACATCATATTCTGGCAATCCAAGACCGTTGGATTTTTGTACGAAGCCATCAAGGGTTCCTCCAGAAGCAAATTCTAACAACAAGTTGTAGACCTTGTCACCCTTGTCTGTGGTTGTGGTCTCTTCACCAAAGCGCTCGATAACGAAAGGGCAGCCCTTGATCTCAAACAGAACCTCTGCCTCATGTTCAATAGACTCCGAAGCAGACACCTTTGCCGATTTCACCGCCATCACTGCAGGCAAATTGACCATACGGCTAAACTCACCCCTTCTTCGTTTCTTGGGAGTAGCAAGAAAAACAGAACCAAAGCTTCCTTCTCCAATAAACTCCCCTCTCAACCAGTGCTCTCCATGACTCCACATGCTGTGCTTTTCACCTTCTAATTCTTCTTCAACCTTTCTTTTCATTCTTCTTCTTCTTCACTCAGTTCTCAGTTCTCTGTTTTCTCTCCACAAGGAAATAAGTATTTCTCTGAAAAAAAAATTAGCGGCTTGCTTGCTCGATTGTGCCCTATAATGCTTTATAGTATTGGTTTAGGGAATAGGAAGATGCATGGAATGTGTGGTTTATTAGGGTTAACCAGATGTATAAAGTCGGTCAGGTTTAATTGATGCTTTTGTAGGTTTTGATTTGTGACGTAGCCACCAAGCTACTAGCTAACAGACAAGAATTTCCACAATACTTTATCTTCGTTTTTTTTTTTCAATATCGTTTTGTCATTGGTCTGAATTTTTTACCGTTTGGAACGAAGAGAGAGAGAGAAGATTTGACAGCTGTAGGTAAATCCATTTACATATATAACATGGAAACCTTTCCTAACAAGAAAAGGAGTTAAATTTATTATTATTATTATTATGGAAGAAAAGAAGTTCAAATTTATTAAAGAAACATTACCCTCCGCTTATCACAAGTTAACCCTCCAAATTGCTTTTTAGCTTCTTTGTTCTGCTCTCTCTCTGCTTCTCTCTTTGTATTCTTTAAATTGGATGGTAATTATCTACAAAACCACAGTTTATTGTAGAAAGATTTTGGATATCAAAGGTTGTAACAAATGGATACATTGGGAAAACTTTCCTGACAAGAAAACGAGTTAAAATTTTATTCCAAGCCACGTAGGCACACAATGACATTCTTGTTGATCTCAGTAACGGAGTGGGAAAAATGTAGGTTTTCCGGGAATTTCAATCCCCTCCACAAACAGAAGAAAAATTTGGAGAAAAATTATGTGGATGCAATGAGCTTTGAACTTATAGCCTGCTGTAAAGATTCCAAAATTAAATGGTGGATTGTCACCTTCAGCGGTGGTGCAGCTCTTACTAAGAACATCCACTCTGATATCTAACCATTCTGCAATTTTTCTATTTGAGGTATGATATAGTAAGACACAGGTTAAAAAATACCAGCAACAGAGTTTGACTCATCAAATACGGACTGCAGAAAGCCTTATGAGGAAAAGAAACATTATAACAATCAAGCATAAAAATGAGAAATCCTTCAGAATGTAAATAAAGCAAAAACAGGGTAATTGAATATGGTATAGTTCAATCACAAACTCTAGAAACATGTATCTTGTGGGAAACAAAGAACATCAATCAATGTATTTGTTGGAAAAAAGAAAACATTTTAAGGCTATCCGCTGCAAACTACTAGAAAATGAAACTACAATCAAACATTTTTTGCAATCGGTTACATAGATACGAGGCTAGAATGTGATAATTCACAGGCAAGTCCCAAGATCAAAGTAAACAGATGTGATGCTGCCATGGATATATTGAAAAACAGAAAATATAAAAAATGCCATTTAAATCTCAAAATTACGGTCAAACAATATTATAGAGCATGAGCCTGTTAGATAACCATTTCAGTTTACAGTTCTTAATTTGTAAAAAAAACTGAAATTTTTTTTGGTAAAGAAAAAAACAAAAGCAAGACCTCAACTCCCAAGAGAAGACAAAACAAAGGAAATAACTAGAAACCTAGATATAGGCGAAAGTAAAAATGAAGTCTAACTTACAAGAACCCCAATTAACTCACTTAATAATTATGTTAAAAAAAGTGACGTAATTAAGTTATAGTTCTTAACTTACAACAATATTATTCATAATTCTCTTCTAATTGATGCTTGTAACTGGGGTTAGGCATTACATCTTCCCGTTCTTTTCCGGTTATGATTAATAAAGATCCCTCGTACCATCGAGGTTCCTACAATTTGATTTAAACTATAGTAACCAAAATCGTAATTTGACAATATTAAAAATTAGAAGAGGTAAATAAAACCACTCAATAAATTGTGAAAAGTGTCGAAGTTCAATTGTCTCAAAGTTTGAGGACCCAACAGCAACAAAGTCCATAAAGAATTCCTTATCATCATCATCTAATCCATTTCGGCTTTTTTTTCCCTCCTCTTCTTCCTCACAGCAAAACCAAATCAACCACAAAACACAGAGATCAATTGCCTCAAAGTTTGAGGACCCAACAGCAACAAAGTCCATAAAGAATTCCTTATCATCATCATCTAATCCATTTCGGCTTTTTTTTCCCTCCTCTTCTTCCTCACAGCAAAACCAAATCAACCACAAAACACAGAGATGGCCATTCCCACCATGGCCTTCTCATCGTCACCTTCCATTCTCTCTCCACATTGCGCAACTCACCAACCTCTTGTTCGCTCCCACACTTCTCTCTCTTCATTACCCAAAACTGCTACTGCCCTCTTCAGCTTCTCAACTTTTCAAACGGTTCCAAAATTCCCGTTGAATAGTGACAAAAGAATCCAATGCGCTGAAAAAGGCTCTTCAGCTTCAAGTCTTGATCCCAAGTCCGGAGTTTCAGTCTACAAGCCCAAGTCCTATGAAGTTCTTGTCACTGATGCTGCAAAATCGCTTGCTTATGCTCTTGAAGATGGAAAGACCCGCTTGGAGATTGATTTTCCGTAATTCTTTTTTGTCCTTTTTGTTTGGATTTGTTGAAAATTTCTGGGTTTTGAGAAAGTCGATGAGAATTTGTGGAAGGTTTTGAAGTAGATATTGTTCGCATTTTTTGTCTTTGGGTTTTGTTTGTTTCATGGGCATTAACCAAAATTGATATGGTATGCATGATCCATAACGTGTTACCGTTATGATGTTGAGCACACTGCAAGTTTGGTACTATGAATAACTTGCCGTCTAGAAGGAAGATGGAAAATATCTTAAAAAGGTTGAGAACCTAAATGTGGGAAAATTGCTTGATGAAGATAAAGAACCTAAATTTGGCTAAGATAGGGATGCCTGATAAAGAAAAACATTATCTTGGAGGTGCTTTAACTGTAGTGTAAAATGTTTGCGGAAGCTTGTTAACTAGCTTTTATATTTAATAGAAATGAGGTTATGTAATTTAGAGACTACTATATCAAGGAATTACTTTTCCTATCAAACCATAGTAATGTGAGTTCATTCCTGTTTGGCATTCCAAACTGCTTTTCCACTAGGAAATTTTGGTTAGCTGTATCTTATTGTTTAGGCGTTCTAGTGGCTTTCATATATACTCCTAATACTTGTTCTTTTTCATGTACCTTATTTTTTCGAGCTTGTGCGTCCAGACCCCTGCCTAGCAACATATCTTCTTATAAGGTATCTCTCTTTGCTACAAAATTATTAGATGGATGAATGACCCATCATGGTTTACACCTGCTTACTGGAGATTGTTTTCACCTATTGATTGTAAAAGCATCCTGTTTTGACTCCATTTAGTCTTCACAGTTGTTTGTTGATTTGTTAGTTTTCGGTCAGTCCTTATTTTTGATATAGTAAAAGGCTTTATAATCATGCTATGCTTATGCCCCAACCCGAAAGAAAAGATGCTATACTATACCCTACTATCATTGTTCTTCTTTGATTTCCTCTTATCAATCACAGTGATATAGCTTGTTGATGACACATAGCAATCTGAATACATGAGACATGATTTTCTCAACTTCCTAAACATGTAAAAGGGGTCTTCAGATGACTTCATTGATGCCAATGTACAACTGGCCTTGGCTGTTGTAAGAAAGCTCAAAGAAAAAAGGGAAACGAGAGCTTGCATTGTAAGTTGAATTTTCGTTTCATATAGACGTTTTATATCTCCCATTTGAAGAGTATGTTAACAAGATTTCTTTCTTCAGGTGTTTCCTGATAAGCCAGAAAAGCGCAGGGCCTCTGAGCTGTTTAAAACAGCTATTGACACGGTAAAAAATAACTCATGATTTTACTAATCGTTAATTATTTTTATGTAATCAAGTGTATCAGAATCTCCTCAGCCCACAAATTCAGAATTGGTATAGTGGATTGGGATAAAATTTTGGTTCACAGAAAAAGGCTAAAAAAAAGTAAATACAATTCGTAACATGCTTTTAAATAAAATTTGCATTTGTTATGTGTTTATACCTTTATCTTATAGCCACGAGAACTATTCACAAAGTAGATTACAGCTCAACAACTCCTTGTATCATTGTTTTCATGATGATTTTTTTCTTCAGCTCGATGACATAACCATAGGTTCCCTGGATGATGTCCCCGGTGGTCCAGTCACCAACTTCTTCAGATCTATAAGGAACACACTTGATTTTGACTTTGAAGATGAAAATGAAGGTTGGTCATAACTTATAGGACTCAAATGCTTGCTTGGTTTCCCTTTTCAATTGATTGCTTGTATTCCTTTTCTTAGCTTTCACCTCAACTGAAGAATTTTCATGCTAATTTGATAGTTTTTTTTTTTTTTGGGTTCAATGCATGATCCATCTATATAACGAAGAGTATTAACTTTTTTTTTTTTGGTGAACAAAATAATCATCCTACAACGCTGGGCACACATTGAAGAGTATTAACTTTAATCTCTATGTCATCTCTTAAAATTGCAGGTCGTTGGGCATCCAATGAGCCTCCCTCTCTTTATGTATTCATTAATTGTAGCACCCGTGACCTTGCTTCAATAGAGAAGTATGTGGTATGGTCTCCTCATTGTTAGCTCTCTCAACCATTTTGAAGTTTTGACTTTCAAATATAATTTCAATACATTTTTTGAATGAATGCTCTTTCCGACCATTAACTTTTGTTCTACCTATATATGGTTTTTATGCCTGATGATTGTATACTTGTATAAGAATTAACTATGATCTTACAACTTCAATTCTTTTAATGTTTTTTTTGGGTGTCATGACTTGTTGATTCTTACTAATTATATTAATTAATGTTTCCCAATGATAATATTTTGGTAAGAATCAGTTTGATATGAGTTCATCTCTCTAGTGATGCAAATTCATCTATTGGAATCTAAAAACCACTGTTTGATCTAGAAATCTAGAAACAGGCCCAAAAATGAAAGAAAGATATAGAAAATCAAGAAGATTGGCACAATTGGGGAAATATTTGAATGCATGTACATATACTTATCTATATGTTTCAACAAATTTATTTGCATTCAAATTCAGCCATTTCGAGACTATGAACTTGAAATTTACAGCTCTAGAAATTGAATGTGCTAACACTGGTTATTTGTGATATATTCAATATGTGCTCCCATTTGCATTCCTGAATCTGTGGTGTGTTGTTTTAAGACTAATGTTGGCTGTGTTTCTCCCCAAAATGTAGTGTTATGTGTATCTTTCAACATGCATGTGCTCTTTTTTTTTTTTTTTTTTTTTTTTTTTTTTTTTTTTTTTTTTTTTTTTTTTTTTTGTGTGTGCATATTTACTAAATTCCATTCAGGGAAATCATATGATCAGTTTATATTTGCATTTGCTGGCTGCCTGAAATTAACCATGTACAATAAACTAAGAAAATTGTAGTTCATGGGCATCTGAAAATGTGCAGGCATCTTATGCTGTTTCCTGGCTGCATAATCTTATTCCAGAGTCTAATTAAATTTAGCATAGAGTCTAATGGTGTCATTGTCTTACTCTAAGTTTGAAGTGTATGCAGCCTGAATTTGACAATTTCACATGTTAATCATGAGGATAATGTGGTTCCTCTTTTCCTACTGTGACTCTTCGAGATTTACAGGAAACATTTGCCATGTCAACCCCGACACTTCTATTTAATCTTGAACTTGACACATTGCGGTAATCCTTATGGACCATACATCCAAATTTGATTTTGCTATTCTCTGACTATAATTTTCATTTTCAATTAGAATCTGTTAATTATGCAGTGCTGACTTGGGCCTTGTGGGCTTTCCAACCAAAGATTTGCACTATCGCTTTCTTTCTCAATTTATTCCAGTGTTCTATATCCGAATAAGAGAGTACTCAAAGGTATAATTTATTTACCTTTAATAATTATTACTTGTTTTCTTTCTTGATTTAACTTTTTGGTAACCATTCATTTGTTAACTCCTAAGACAGTAGCAGTAGCACCTTATATAGTGAATTACAATGGAGCATTGTTTCGCCAATACCCTGGTATGTATTAAAAGATTTCTTATATACTGGATTGTTGCTTTTTCTTTATCTTAACTTTTTTTTTTGAAAAGAAACAGTATTATTCAAATAGGATAGAGCGAAAAACACGAGATGGCCAAGGAGGCCATCTTACAAAACAGAAAGAAAAAGCTCTGCACTACAACACTACTGCTTTCCAATCTAGGTGGATAAGCTGAAAGCTGATATCCTTAAATTCTACAGAAACAGAGGCCCAGAGAGATGCCCAGACTCGGATACGATCCCATATCATCTCTACCTCGTCCCCCACCACATTCTCAAAAATTCTCCTATTCCTTTCCCCCCATATTTGCCAGAAAATTGCCATCATGGCACAGTTTCCCAACACTAAACCCTTCCTCCTCCCACCAAAGAATCTGAACCTGGCTTCCAACACCTCACTGCAAGTTGCAAAGTTTCCCCATGTTATCCCCGTCTCCCGGGATAGCTTAGCCCACAGGGACGAGGCAAAGGGACATAGCAAAAAGAGGTGATCCACAGATTCATTTTCTTTTTTGCACAGGACACACCAATTAGGAGAGAAATACCAGCTGGGTCTTTTCCTTTGGACCAAGTCGCATGTGTTAATTCTGCCTTGAGCGATTAGCCAAACTAGTACTTTTACCTTAGGGGGAGCTTTAGATTTCCAGATTACAGCTGGAGGGAAGCAGAGATTTGGATGGGGATTTACCATCAGGTGCCTAGTAAAAGAAGTACAGGAGAATACTCCTGAGGGCTCTAAGTTCCAAACTCTGGTGTCGCATCTACTAAGAACCAACACGACCTGTTCCAATCTGAAAAGTAGCTCAGATAGTTCCTCTATTTCCTCATCCCTTAGGTTTCTACGGAACCCAAAGTCCCAGCTTAGTGGAAGGGCATTCCTGTCTATAGAGATGTCTGCGATTTTGGCATTTTGTTTACGAGATAGCCGGAAAAGGCGAGGGAACCTCTCCCCCAAAGTCGTATCTCCCAGCCACACATCTTCCCAAAATCTTACTCTTTCACCATTTCCGACCTTGAGGCGACAACAAGCAGCAAAATAACCCAAAACTTTGATTATTTCAGTCCATGGACATCGGCTGGAACCTACCGATATTATTTTAGAGTCCCACCCATTCACCTGTAACCCATACTTACTCTTAATCACATCGTACCAGAGGGTATTGGTTTCATTTTGGAATCTCCATAGCCACTTCCCAAGTAAGGCCTCATTACGTTTCCTTAGATTTCCAATCCCGAGTCCCCCATTTTCCTTTGGTAAGGACACTACCTCCCATTTCACCAAGTGGTCCTTCCTACCTTCCTCCACACCTTCCCACAGAAAGTTTCTGATTGTCTTCTCCAGCCGTTTTGCCACACTAGCTGGAATTCGGAATAGTGATAAATAGTAAGTTGGTAGGCTGCTCAATACTGCCTGAATTAGAGTCAATCTTCCCCCTCGAGATAGAAACGCCTTGCTCCAACCTTCTAACCTTCGTTCTACTTTCTCTAAAACCGGGTCCCAAAAAGGTAAGCTCCTAGGTTTTCCCCCAAGAGGCAGCCCAAGGTAAGTCAGAGGCCAGCTTCCTTTGCCACAACCTATCTCAACGGACAGGCCCTCTACTTCACTGTTTTCTGCATTAATTCCAACAATTGAGCATTTTCCTCTATTTATTTTCAGACCAGAACACAAGTTGAAAACCTCCAGAATATTTAGAAGATTGCGAAGATTTCCTTCCTTGTCAGATAGGAAAAAAATAGTGTCATCTGCAAACTGAAGGTGTGAAACCATCACCCTATCTCTTCCCACAACCAGCCCCTCCACCAAACCCCTTTCTCTGGCCCTTGTGCAGAGTCTGCTCAGTGAGTCTGCTACCAAAGTAAACAGAAAAGGAGACAAAGGGTCTCCTTGTCTGATTCCCCTAGAGGCTCCAAACTTTCCCCTTGGCCTTCCGTTTAATAAAATCACCCACAAATTTCCAATTTTGACACGACCAAACATGATTAGGTTAAGAATTCAGTTCTAAGCTTCGATTCTGATGATAAAGAGATAGGTGTGGTTGATTTTGTTTGAAGTCAAATCTTACTAATTTAAAATAATTTAACTAGACCTATCACACTAAAGAGTCATTGGACCCATACATGGGGTGTGTAGGCAACTATATTGAGTCATAGAAAAGGCGTATTCAAAGTGACTTGTCAGCCACTAAAAAAGAAATCAATCATGCGTCTCAAGGAGCAGATGTCAGATCAAGAAAAACAGAGCTACAAATAGATCAGTCACGAAGCTCTTTGAAGTACAAATTGGTAAAAGAAGAGAAGCAAACTACATAGGCACATAAGTACAAGAATTTACTGCCAAACCAGCAATAGAAGATCAATAACACCAGTGCAGTATTTAAGTCATAGAAAATCATCAAATGATGTCGTAGAGATGGTATAAGAAAAGTTACCAACATGCTTTCATCTGTGTACAAAATGGTCAAAGTTTCTGTTCAAAATGTCAGTATAAACACTACCACAAGCCCAGAAACTTGTAATGTTTTTAGTTTTATACTCTCACAACATTGAGACAAACTGACTTGTGATAGATGGCCCCCCTCCTCCATTCGGTCGAGATCCTTAATTCGAACCTCTGCTTGTTTCAATTCAGAGATCAGCTCACTGTTAATTTCTTTACTCCAAGCCTTCACTCTATCTTTCACAGTCTTTAATTTCTTCATGAACTTGAAGCCTTCCCACCCTTGTTGATGCTCTTCTAACCACCATTCTTTGAATTTTCCTCTGAAGTCGTGCTGCTTCAGCCACCAATTCTCAAATTTAAAAGGCACCGGTCCCCATTTCTTTGCATTCAGATCCAATAAGATAGGGCAGTGGTCAGAGATTACCCTAGGGAGAGCCACCAGCCTAGCGTGCGGAAATAATTCCTCCCAATGTGGATTGAACAAGAACCTGTCCAACTTTCTTAAAACTGCATTCTCCCTCATATTTGACCATGTAAAAGCGGCTTTGTGAAGAACTGGATCACATAGGTTTGTCTCCCTTATGAAGTCATTAAACACAGTCATACTCCTTGTGATTCTTCCCCCATTAGATTTTTCAGATGGGGATCTAGTAATATTAAAGTTGTACTTCCCTGAATAGCTTCTTTATCTTAACTTTCATAGGTTTATAATCTATTTATCCCAACAAATTGGACGACAGTCCTTAGATCGTTTAGATTATACGATAAGGACTTCTTGGAAGAACGATTAAAGAATAATCTGAAGTTATTTGAAGTTTTGCTAATTTGTGCAAGACCTATTATTCACATCATAGTGGTTTCTCAACACTGATGCTGGTCTGGACTTGATGAAGAATACATTGTCAATGTTTGAGAGTTGAGATCAAGGGATTTTGTTCAGAAGTCATCTAATACTCACCTTGATGGTTGGCCAGATTAGGAAAGGACAGGTGTAGTGGTTACGTGATGAACAAAATATATAACCCAATATTAGCGCGTCATGCAATATTTACTCGTTTTCTGCGGACAGTTTAGAGTTTGATTATTTTGGGACCATTTGTACAGCTTGCAGAGTGAATTGGTTATCTTTGTTTTCTTTATGTTTGAATATCTATTCTGCAAAATAGAGTTTGTTTGGAAGAAATATTAGAAAAATTAATGTGTTCGGGAAGTAACTAAAGTTGTACTGTTAGCTTCTCTTTGGGCATCTTTGTCTAAACACTTAAAAGATATTCCTTTTAGTGTTATTCTTCTTGATTTGGGGGAGCCTTGATTTTATTGTAGTTTAAAGTTGTACTTAGGGTGTTGATTGACTTCTCTTTCGTCCCATTAGTGTCATTTTATATATTAACAAAATTTTGTTCCTGGGAGATGAAAAAAAAAAGTTCTCACTTTTATTGTTTTTATAAATTTTAGAAGTTAGTAAATTCACCATATAGTTCAATTTTTTCCTTCTTTTACTTTTTTGAAAACATGACAATGTCGGTAACATGCTATGCGTTGTACAATTGATAGATCTGATTCTCATTGGACATTTACTAAAATTTACTATGCGACTGCTTTCAGTGTCTATTTGAGCCTTTGTCATTTTTCTACTACTATTGTTAATTATCTCCTAATCAGTTGGCATGGATTTATGTTATCTTCTGTGCATTAGCTGGAATTGATTTTATGTTTTCATTATGGATGCGCTTTTGTAACCCCAGGAAGGTATTGCTGTACAATCAGCTTGTTTGTGGTTGTTAACCGTGATTTTGTTGCACTTTATTTTTCTAACAAATCCACTGTTTTCTTCAATATGCATGTGTGCTTCATTCAGCATGCGGCGGTGTCTCATCTTTTCTCAAATTTGTGCAGGGCCTTGGCAGGTAATGCTTAAACAAGCCGATGGTTCTTTTGCTTGCGTAGCAGAGAGTGCAACACGCTTCACTCTGGGTGAAGTATATATCTTTCTCAAGCTCCAGTTATTAGTTACTTTCTGTTAGTTGCTGGGAATACTTTGGTATGCTTTCAGGCTGATTATTTGTGTGGTCTTTAGACAAAAGAAGAACTGTTGAGGGTCCTGGGACTGCAAGAGGAACAAGGAAGCTCACTGCAATTTCTTCGTAGAGGCTACAGGGTTAGCTCTCCTTATCTTAAACGTTTTCCTTTGTCTATAGATAGTTTTTCCTATTTTTTTGTCTCACTAATTCCTTACTATAATAATATTATAAATTTAAATTGGCAATCCCCAACCTTAGTTTTCCCTATGTTTTCATGACAGTTAAACTTTTGGAATTTAAATAACCAATCCCCAACGTTCATTCTCTCTCTCTCTTTCTCACATTCACTCACATGCTCACATGCATACACACACCCTGTCATGTTTCTTAGTGGTTCTGCAATCTGTGGCTTTCTAAAGGTTGTCCATTTCCATTAGAAAACGGAAGATTTAAAGGAAAGCTCAATTTGTGAAGTTAAGTAATAGTTCCCCTTGATCCAATAAGGGCCAAATCATTTATACGGATTCCTAAAATTTGATTCATCTAAATCAAGTCAAGGCACTCAGTTGGTACGGTGTTTTGGATGACAATCTCCTTTGTTTATTGAAACCTTTGAAATTTTTCTTAGGTGCATTGTTATGCACCATATTGTATGGCACAGTTACTGAAATTTGTTGCTGCAATCTGGGATCATAGTAAACTTCTGCTCTCCACAATAGATTTTGGCAATGCATAACTTCTGCAATCTGCTTTTCTGAAATTTTGTATAAAAGATATGAATATGTTTAAGATTATGAAGTTTCTAAGGAAAAAAAAATCCTTTAGCAATGCTACTAACTCAAAACTACTTGAGCATTGAGAATTTAAATCCAAAGCCCAAAGTGGTGTTTCCATGAAAAAGAACAAAATTGTTCTACATCGATGTTACAGAATAGTTCTGTGGATTGTTACACATTCTTGCTTCATAGAGCATACCATGGGACACATTGTAAATAGTGTATCTTGATTGTAATGCATTTTTGGTAAGTGGAGTGCACCATGTTCCAGTTGCTCTTCTGTCTACTGCTATTGTCTACTTTCCTCACAACACCGTTTCACACAGATAACCTAGGTTGCTGGTTCTGGTTTGGAATTTCTGACTGCAAAAATTTCAAACAATGTCTTACCAGCTGTTAAATATGACTAACTGAAATGTTATTGAACCGGTCAACTTGATGAAATGGACTTGAAAATTGAATGTCATGGAGCACCTTTTACCTTGTCTATGATCATTTCTCTCTCTTTATTTAACCAATTTCAGAAGTTACCAGTTTCCCTCTCAAATCATTTAAACATTCAAATGCAAAAACATATTATGAAAGGAAGAACAATAACTTGAAAATCTAATTGGATGGGATGTGATCTAATATTGCAGAGCGCTACTTGGTGGGAAGAAGATGTTGAGTTGGAAGTATCTTCTGCTTGGCGTAATTGAGCAGCTGAAAGAGATGAATGCCAGTGTTCCAATGGATCCGGGATACTCAGTTGAGTTGGATAATACTCAGATGTAATCAAGGCATGATGTTTTTTTTGGGATTTTTGTGGTGAAATGACCCAAAATGAAAACCAGTATGCAAAATAACTCATTTGTTTCTGAAGTAGAAAATTAACCATTTCTCTATTGGGAAAGACCATCGTGTCCGAGATATGAGTTGAGATGGATTGAGATGAGCATATAAAGTGCTTTCCCCATATGCAGAAACAGTTGGTTTTTCAAACTTTTGAAAGAAGAGTTAGTTTTCATGATTTTTATTTTGGGTCATTGGAGCATTAAACCAATGTTTTTGCCCCTATTTATTTTATTTATTTCATCAATTTTATTCATATATTGTATTTATAAAGTTTGTTTAGTTCGTAGAAAATGTAAGTAAAATAATTTCTATCTCTACGAAGTTGAGGTAGCCCACCTGCCATAGCCAACCACTTTAAACGAGAAAACAGAGGGAGCCATGAAGCAGACCTTCAATCGAATTGTGATTTTCACATTTAAAAGAAAATTGGCATTTGGATTGCTAATCTAGTTTTGGAGGGTTTGAAAAATAGCCGAATTTTGTTATGCAAGTTCTGTTGACGCGCAGAATTTGGCCAAACACCAACATTACTATCTTTCATAGCTGGTGGACTCTAACAAGAGATTCTTCCCCTTGATGAATAATATCATACAAGGAAGACTATGGCTACCATTTCATACAGCTACATAATGTTGGCATCCATTTGATTTAATGACACATAAGGTCTATAAACATATAATAAACTGCCACCAAAATCATGCTATGACAATTGTTTGTGTGAGTGTCTGCCTGGTGGTATAAATTTTATACAGCTCTTGGATTTTGGACATCAATTCTTATCATCATAAGCTGAGAAGTCAGGTTCAGGGGGCTTCTGCAGCTTCATCAGCTCCGTGCTACCCATGCTACCTGTGCTACCTGCACTGCGACGCCTATGACTGCGAAGTGCTTTTGCTGCAAAGCGGGATGCAATGAAGGTGGCATGAAGTTTGCTTGTAATAGAACCGCCTCAATAATCATCATCATCATCATCATCATCTCCTTCGCTGTAGTCAAAGCCTTCTTCCTCCTCCTCCTTACGCTGTTTTTCTGCAAATTTTCTCCTGTAGTGGTGCCAAGCAGCTTGGATAAAGCAGGCTGCCCAAGTACTCCACTGCTGGGAGTAGAAACGGAAGGTGTACTGAACCTGTCTGCTATGAAGGTGCCTAAACTGGCTGGCAACAAATTTCAACTCCTCTGCTTCTAAAGCAAAAGCCTCAACCTCAGTTATAGCCAGGGGCGGAGCCAATTAAGGCCTAGGAGGGTCATATGACCCTTCTGACCCAATGGTAACAGTGTACAGATTATCTTATTGACCCTTCTGACCCAATGGTAACAGTGTACATATTACCTTATTTCCACTTTCAACATTTAAGTAAATGTCTTTGTCATTTTACTTTTATTTATTTTTATATTACTCCATTTACTTAAGTTTACAATGTAAATAAGGAAGTACCCCCATTTGGATTCAAATAAAAATACTAGAAAATCAAATTCCCACCAAATCAAAATATGAAAAATCGGTTTTAGTGTAAAATACGATTTAGGCTAAAAATGATGGCTCATTAAGTCAATATATACTTCATACTAAATTCCCATAAAATCAAGTTTTCTTATTTGATGTGTGAGGAATAAAAGCCGCCAAAAATTATCTTCAGAAAATGATTATTCCAAAAACCCAATTTTCATACTTAGTCAATATTTTTACATAAAACAATTTTTCATGTATGATATGAATGCATGAAGGAACTAAGGTCAATCTAGGTAAAAAGCCTAATCCACTATGATGTTAAACCCTATTTGGTTTATGTTAAAACTTATTGAAAATTAGTTTATGGAGCTATGAGCGTGGTTTATATGATTTAATGTTTACTTTTATTTCTACAAAGACTATAGAAATTGTAAGTATACGTACCAAAAAAAATAATCATTAAATTTTAAGCTAATAACTTTAGCTAGCCCACCCGTTGAAAAATTCCTGATTCCACCCTTGATGAAGCATATGGAAGTGGGTGGTAGAGCAACTGGTTTGACCTTCTACCACGTAAGTGTTTTTATTCATGTTCAGTTTAATTAGCAACATCTTCCAATATTGTCTTAAAACCCATTAAATATTTTTGGAACAACAACCATCAAAGTTTTCTTATATAATTGAACTTATTCTAAAATATTTATGTAGAAAAACAATGGATACTTAAGATTTTAGGTTATTAATCTATTATCTCATAGTTTTATTCTCATGGCACATCCTTGTATGCATTTTTCTTCTCCTCTAAACCATCATAGTCCAAGTCTGGTGGTGGTATGGCTTTTCCATTTATCTTGGCTAATAATGTTGACCCTCCTTGAGAGAATTCTTGGCTACGCCGCTGGTTATAGCGTTCACATTTGAGTAGATGATGGTAAGTTAGAACTAGCTTTAGGATCCAATGTCCATGTTAGGAGCTCTTCACCACAAAAGTCTCCTTATTTTAGCACACCGCTGTTGAAAATCCATTCCTACCACCATCTGTCGTCACACTTTCTAGGCAACCACGAATGATGAATAACATCTCACCAACTGGTTTCAAGCCCCTGGCCAAGTGTACATGCTCTCTATGAGCATCCTCATCTTCAACCAACATTTCCAAAATAGACGAATAGGAAGCATCCACAACATTAATTTATGCCTCACCTGTATATTTCCAATCAGAAGGGCAAAGAGGATGAGCCCAAAAATGCCTATCCCTACGGAAAATAGAATCTCTAAAGCAAAGGTTCTGGTTTCAAGGCCCTGGCCAAGTGTACTGCAACAAGCACTGGAGTCTGTGGTATCATATGGAGACTCATGCACAATGGAAAAGCCATACCTCAACAACGTGTCATATAAAAGTGACCATACCTCAACTTTTACAATTTTATGGATTCGTTTTATATTATACATGAACACAACTACGAAAGCTGGGTGCTGAGCTTTGAATTTTATCAACCATTAATTTTCTTGTGTATTATATACCAATTTTGATATATGAATCATGTATGAGTCCTTGTTTTACAATTATGATGATGGGTTAGTTCATGTAATCTTATCTTATAGATTTTGGCAAAAACAAAAGAATAAAAATCTTATCATATGAATCTTGCCCAAAAAAAATGATGTCACATGAATTTCACTTTTCACTTAAATTATCAAAGCATTTAAAAAAATTAGTTTGATCCAATGTTACCCGACGGAGCACCAAACACAATATAACTTAGTGAGAATATTTATCCGAAACAACACCAAACACCTAATAAATAAATTAATATTATCCGATAGAAATTAATCTGTATAGTCTGACGTACCAAACGAGCCCTAAAGTTCATCAAATATCTTACTCGGGTGACTTTGGAGAAGAAAATTTGAACTTATGTGGGTTGAATCTAAACTATTAATTGAAGCTACAAGCCTCTACTTGGCATTTCTGATTAAAAAAACGCACAATTCTCTCTCTCTCTCTCTCTCTCTCTCTCTCTCTCTAACCCTAGCAGAGAAAAAAATGCCCCACCCCTTCAGCGCCGAACCTTGGGGGGAGGTGGTCTACCCCTCCTCCCCTCCCCTCCTTGTCACGACCCGATTCGAAAATAAAGAATATTCCCGAATCATGGCGTGAGTCATACCATAGTCATAAGAATAAAATCCTACAACCATGATATGATGAGAAATAGAGCCACAAAATAAAATTTCCTAAGTTTCTGCGAAGGAAAAGAAACCATGAAAAGAAAGTCCGAACAAGAAGAATTTGAAGAAGAGAAAAAACAGAGGATTTGGAGTCATGGAGAGCACTGGCTGAGAGGGGAGATGGTTGGAGAAGGAAGCTCTGGTTCTGTTTTTCTTGCCACTCCCAAAAACCCAAGAAGGGGTGAGTTTGGTAGCATGCTAAACTTTCTGGGATTGATGGCGGTGAAATCGGCAGAGGTCTCTGATTCGGAGTCAATCCGGCATGAGGCAGAGGTTCTGTTGGATATTAAGGGTTGCCCTTTTGTCATTGAGAGCTTTGGTGAAGAAATCACAACCAGTGAAGAGGGTGGTGATCACATGGTCTATAACTTGTTGCTGGAATTTGCCTCTGGAGGAACTCTTGGTGATCTGATTGAGAAATCCAACGGTCATGGATTGCCTGAAGCTGAAGTTAGAAGGTATACGAAATCGATTCTTGAAGGGATTAAGCATATTCACAAGTTTGATTATGTTCACTGTGATTTGAAGCCAGAAAACATTCTGCTTGTACCAAATCCAGCAACTAGTACTGGTAGTTTTGTGGCCAAGATTTCAGATTTTGGATTGGCTAAGAAAACCAAGGAGAATTACTGTCAATGGAGAGGCACTCCTACGTATCTGTCCCCAGAAGCCTTGAATGATAGTGAGCAGGAGCCGCCCTCTGATATATGGTCTCTTGGTTGTATCGTACTTGAGATGCTAACCGGCAAGTCCTTCTCAGATTTAAAGCCTGGTTGTGAACTTGAAGATTTCCACTATATGTTTGATCACGTATGTACTCCCAAAATCCCTGCTGAAGTCTCTGGTGTGGCCAGGGATTTTCTTAAGAGTTGCCTTGCCATGAGGTCTTGCGAAAGGCTGACCGCTGAAAAGCTCTTGCTTCATCCATTCGTTGTACGGCCAAAGCCATCGAAAGCAGCTCGTCATACAAAGAGGAAGGTGGTTTGCTCATCTTCAGGCTATGCAGATGGCTCCAAACCAAGTGCAGATTGTCACACAAGCCCTGCCATTGTTCGCAGAATTCCGCCACCACCCGGTTTTGAGATACTTGCTGCTCTTGTTTGATGTGATAAACTCAGTACAAATGTGTTAGGTTCTTTGTTGTTGTATTCTTTTGTATTGTAAAGTCCCTTACTTGAAACTATTCGTTTCAAGTTCATCAACACGGAATTGTTCAAAGTGATTCAAAATTTCTGTCCTGGTTTTTTGTTTACTTTTGTTCGTACTAAGTTGTGTTTACTTTTGGTTGCCCTGATTTCTTTGTGCTTTATTAGCTCTAACAATGTGCGCATGACCGTAGTTGCGACCTAATCCTAATTAAGCTACTATAATTTAGATCAGATGACTAATGACGTATTTCAATAATCTAGACTCAGCTTCTGCACTGGAGAAAAATAGATTCACAAAGATTTGCAGTAACTTTGGGACTATTTGTCCTTTTATTGCTTGGCCTAATTCCGCGATGGTGGAAGATTGCTCACTTAAATATTTTTCTATTTTTAAAGTCCCTTAATAACCATTTCAAAGTTTCAAGTTTATAATGACAGAACTATGCAATCACTCAAGTTTCTGTCCAATTTCTGATGCAGATTCACTCTCCCTGATGAGTGTACACTTCATTTGATTTGCTACTTCTTATTAAAACGGCTGTTTTGGTTGGTACTTGCTGCTATGCATGGGATTTTCCCATAGGTGGTGCTTGTTACATTCTGGATTAGTTTTTGACTAACATTATATCTGTTGTTGGCCTTGGTCTTTTATGTTTATCGGAGAGGCTTTCTTGTTTTTGCAGAATCGAATTCATTTTGATTTTTCCAGATAATTGTGATTTATTTCTTCCTCTTCTTCTACTTGTTCAATTTACTTAGTGATACGGTTGGTTCATTACTTTACCCATTAATGAAGCTTGTTTCAGCCTCTCTCTGCCTCATTATGTTTCAAGCTTATAAGCTACTAGGATTTGAACCACAGGGACCCTATATCCATCAACATGCTCAGGGTGCTTTTGCTACTAATTCTTAGATAATTCTTATACAAGTTACCAATGAACAAAATTTAAAGAACAAGACAGACTACACCAATTAACGTATGTATAAGCTGGACATAATAGACAGCCTAGACTAGCTAGCCTGTAACCTTCTGTAGTCTGTGGTAGCCTGTAACCTTATGCATACCATATGGAGACTCATCACCACTGGCAGTAACAACAAGGAGGCTTGCAATGGGAAAATGAAGTTGAACTAAACTCAGCAGGAATAAATAAAAAGAATGGTGTAATTACTCACTTTTTCCTGGAATTAGAACATCAGCTATAATATACATATATCAGAGAATATTTATTTTTTAAAAAATATTGATAAATGAATATAATACCTCAAACAGAACAAAAATTTGGAGAAAAATTCTGTGGATGCAATGACCTTTGAACTTATAGCCTCTGTAAAGATTCCAAAATTAAATGGTGGATTGTCCCTTCAGCGGTGCAGCTCTTAATAAGAACATCCACTCTGATATCTGACCATTCTTTGTATCCTGGGACATTTTCAGAAATGCCACAGTACAAGTAGTTTATCGTACATTTTTTACTTTCAATACAAGCCTCCTGCCAGCATGTGTCATAGCGCTCTACAGCTAACAAGTACCAGGCAGCCCCAGTGACCTGTAAAATTTTATCGAACAATGGTCGAAAAATTTCAATAAATTGGTTAAGACACCCCTACAATATACTTGAGCTACTAGTATTCAGAAATAAAAATGCATGAGAAGTAAAGGCTTAAACCATAATAAAAACTTAAGCTTGTCATGAAGATTCAGTCAGATCAGTCCACTATGTACATAACTCGGAATAAATGCTGTGCACTGTACTTGTTCGAAATATTACATTTTTGTATGCAACTAACACTTTGCTGTGCTGGTCATATCAATCTTACTGCATTAGAACTGTTAAACAAGCACTGGACCAAAAAGCTTAAATTGTTAGGGAATGGGTGTCAAGCTAACACCCTTCCTCACGTGCAGCCTGTAAGTAGAGAAGTGAAGAGATAGGACACATGGAAACATATAGGTATAGCCCCACCTGCTACTGCACGTTGCAAACCAACAAAGAACAAGGGAATGGGGTTGGTGTTTTCGAACTCATCACATTTTGCAACCAGACCTCTGATGCCATATTAGACAACTACTAGACTTCAAGAATTTTTTTTTTGGTCAAGAGACTCCAAGGTTAAGCTGTTAGGAATTTAGCCAACAATGTTTATCAATTTTGATCAAATGCTACACATACCACATTGCTTTTACCCAGATATACAGGGACAATGACCTCCCTTCCACTAATAAAAGAACCCACAAATTAGTCTGATTAATCTCAAAGAAATTTATCATCTTTGTAATTTTTAAAACGCCAACTCTATACAGGCCAAATTACCCCAGTCTAAACTCCACATTCCTAAATATACAACTTTTCTTATGCTTTGAACAAAGGCAAGGTAATTATGATAATTAAAAGTGAAACAAAAAGTTCCAGCACATCACACAGCGTAGCATATGCTTTTGTAGTCAGGGGCCGAGCTAAGCAAACAAGGTATCGAACCAAAAGTCAGATATTTGAATTCATCAGGATATCACCCCATACCTAAAGTCATGATGGTTAGCCTGTTTTTAGTACGTGACAATACATATATATTCCGCAAAGATGGATCAATATTGACAACACTAGAGCTAACTCAATTCTGCATTGCAGCCAACCTTCCTATTCTTCTTGGGAATTATCTGGTAGGAAATTTCATTAAGGAAAAAGTTGAATGGCTGAAGCATGAAGATCGACCAAAATGTAGAATGCATAGAGATGACAAAGGAAAACAAAATAAAAAGAAGAAAACACCATCCATGTCTTCTTCCTCGATGGAAAGCAGATAGCCCTTTTACTTGTCAATGTTTTAGTTAGTTCTGAGTATGTTTGTTCAGTCATACTTAGACAAAGATATAGATGATTCGACCAAAAAAACACAGATGTAGACAATGTAATCTACCTTTTGGATAAATCTCAGTGATTCTAAAGAAGCAACTCTAATTGATTAACAAATGCCTTAATTTTAAACAAGTGGATGATGAGTATTTAAATTCTAGGCATTGTTGAACAAATGGTTTAAGACCTAACCAACAACAAATAAACAGAACCAAAGTATTGGCATCAACTAGCCATCAGTTTCTGCAGGATTAGGACTAGTTAAAGTAAACAAAAACTAGACATGGATTATGCATGAGTAAAGTCATTGAAATGGTAAAGTATAAGAGGAGGAAGAAAGAAATCACAAAAAACAGGAAAATGGCATTGAATGGATTCTGCAAAAAGCCTATCCTGAACAATAGGAACACTAAAATACAAAGCCAGAATGTAGATAATAAATGAAGGGAACACCCATCTGTAAGCCAAAACCAGCAAAACAAGGACCTAACAAACACACAAATGGTAAAATGATGGACCAACTACATCTGTAAGCCAAGATACTATTCTGCCCCATTTCAAAACTATCAAACCAAGGAGATCCTGAGTTGCTCCAAATTTTTGTCAAACCTGTATACATTGAGAGTCCAGAAGATTCAAATGGTTCCAACACGGTATCAGATTTAATCCTAGCTGGAAGTTTAATTATAAACTTGCCACTTGTGGTGTGTGCAATGGAATTTCAAGGGACTGTACAAATAACCAATCTGACACCATTCCTTTTCCGGAATTAGGCAAAACAAGACTAATAAAAAGAACGCAGGGCTATAATAGTTATAAACTTGCATCATTCAACTGATTTATATCCTAGAAGCATAATTATAATAATCTCACAACTAAGAACCTGCACACGCTACTAAAGCAAATAAAACTACAAAAAAACAGGACTAGAATAAGTAAACAACAACTAGAACAAACAAACAAACAACAGAGGTAGGCATCTTTGTGGTTCTAGAACAAACAAAAAACTCGTTTAACCAGAATGATCAGAAAATAAAACTGGTCCAACTGGTACAACTAAAACAGTTTTGCCACTCAAAAAGTTCTTTGTGCTTGGATCAGATCTCCACTGTTACAAATATTACTCAATCTATCTTTTGGATAAATCTCAGTCATTCTAAACAGGCAACAAAAATAAGGACTAACACAAGTGAAAAGAAATCAGGATTGGCAGAAGTAAAGAACAACTCGTATATATGTTTGAATCATTTTGTACAATTTCGTGGTTATGACCTTGAAATGAATCATTTCAAGTGATCGACTTTACAAATAAAAAAATACTAGAATAAAGAATCATAAGGTTTGTATCATGAAATAGAACCTCAACTTCTATAGTCCAGCTGGTATCTCAAACCCCGGTGGGGGCGGAATTCTGGGAACAGGGGCAGAGTTTGTGCGGTAATCTTCAATTGGTTTGAAGCAAGAGGCACCATCTTTGGAGCCCAAAGATGAGCTAAGCACCTTCACCTTGGCATGACTTGGTTCAGATAGTTGTGGCTCCTGTACAAATTGATGAAGTAGGAGCTTTTGAGCAGTAAACCTTTCCCATGAGTTGACTGCAAGACACCTCATAAGAAAATCCCTTGCCAAACCAGAGATTTCAGTAGGGATTTTGGGAGTTATTTCCCCAGCAACCATGTCGAGGAAATCATCAAGAGTCGAATCAGGCTCCACATCCCAGGGGGGCTTGCCTGTTAACATCTCAAGCACAATAGCACCAAGAGACCAAATATCAGAGCACTGCTTTTGCACATTATCAATCAAAGCATCTGGGTCTGTATACCTAGGAGTGCCTCTCCATCCATCCATATCGTCTTTGGTGCTCTTAGTCAATCCGAAATCAGCAATCTTGGCCACAAAACTAGAACTACCAGTGGTGCTAGTATCACTAGGAACAAGAAGGATGTTCTCCGGCTTCAAATCACAGTGAACATAATCACAATTGTGAATATGTACAAGCCCTTCAAGTATGCACCTTGTGTAGCTTCTCACATCAGACTCAGGCAGCCCATGACCTCTATAGCTCTGAATCAGACCATCGAGGGTTCCTCCAGCAGCAAATTCCAAAGCCAAGTTGAATATTTCTTCACCTGTGTCATCAATGGTTGTGATTTCTTCACCTAAGTACTGAATCACAAAAGGGGAACCTATAAAATCAGAGAGAATACCTGCCTCATGCTGAATGGATTCTGAATCAGCGAGCTTAGCAGATTTGACTGCCATGACTGGAGCTGGAGGCGTATCATTCAGATTAAGCTCCCAAAGGGGTTTTTTCCAAAAAGCAAGAAAAACAGACCCATAGCTTCCTTCTCCGATCATCTCCCCTCTCTCCCACTGATTTCCATCACCCCACCACATCCTCTGCTTTTTCCCTCTTTCTTCTAATTCTTGCTCTGCCTTCCGTTTCATGATTTCTTCACAGCAAATACAAAATATTTCTTGGGTTAATTGGAATTGTAACTGAGAATGAGCGGCTACACTTGAATTCTTGATTCGGAGAACGGGAATATGAACGATTGGGGATTAGGGTTGAGGAAATGAAGTTTCTTTCTCCAACGGTCGGGTTTTAAGTGCGCCAATACGCGTGAAGTTACAAATTTATTTATTTTATTTATTTTTACTTTGACAACGACAGCTAACTACCCTAGCCAGCTGCCATAAAAAGACAAAATTGAAGAATTTTGAAAATTGTAGGCAAAAAGCCACGTGCAATACGATGAGCAATTTTAATTGAGAAAATATATACTTATTTTTTAAAAATAAAATAAAATAAATTTTTTGTTTATATACATTATAGAGAAATTTTCTCTTTTTTCATAATTGAAATAGGTAATCAAATCAATCATATTATAAGAAAATTTTCTCATAGCTTGCGATATATTTTTAATTTTCTAGCACATCAAATCATCTTAAAATTTGATACCATCAAACTTCAAAGTTTAATAACTAATAAATTAATAATTACAACCCAAAAATCAATAACTTCAAAGTTCCACCAAAATTCAAATTAAAAATCCTTATCTTGTTGGTTATTAGCCAATGAGAATACTATACATTTAATATAAAAATAAATATACAAGTAGTTGGTCTTGTTCAGTTTAGGCGAGTTTACAAAATCTCAAAATTACAATCAAACCAAATTGGGCACTACAATCAAACAATATTATAGAGCCTGAGCCTGTTTGATAACCATTTCAGTTTACAATTTCTAATTTTTCAGTTTTAATTTGTAAAAAAATGAAAAAAAAAATGTTGAAAGCAAAAAAAGAAAAAGAAGCAAGACCCCAACTCCAAAGAGGAGACCAAACAAAGGAAATAACTAGCAACTTAGACATAGGCGAAACTAAGGGGGGTGTATTCAATTGAGATTTTAAAAGATTATTTATGGATAAATAAGTCCAGTGGATTTTAAAAGACTATTTAAGAACATAATGACTTGGAAAGACTTTTTTAAAGATTTTTTATATTCAGGATTTTTTATGTTTGGATTTTAAGGATTTATATCATAAGAATTTATAAGATTTGGAAGGACCACATGGATTTTTTATTTGTATGATGCTAACTAATGAGATTGGATTTTCTGCTCATCCTTACATAAAACGATGTCATTGTTTCACTTTATTATAGGAGATGACTTTAGAAGAGTATGAGAAGGTGCTTGAAGAGAAGACGAAGGCTCTGCTTGCATTGAAGTCCATGCAGCAGCTTTCAAACAAGAAGGAAAAGAATGACATCTTTATCAAATTGGTGAGTCCTGACACAGTCGGATGATGAGCAAGGTTACTAGGCTGCGGACACTTGGTTCAAACAACGGAATGGAGCCATAAATAATAGAAAAGGGATCAAATGGAATGGAACAATAAATAAAAGCAAACATTCAAAGTTACAAGAGTCAATGAAAAAGATAACAAAGAAAGACAAGTTAAAGTAAAAGCCAATAAAATTTTCCCAATCTTTTAATATCCAATTTGATGTAGCTTCATGTCCTCCTAAGTAGCATTTCTCCACATATCTAAAGCTATGGTAGCCCTCCATGCATTAGCATTTTCTCGTTGCTGCTCTTGGGTTTGAACAATAGGTTCCAAATTATCTTCTTCATTAACTGGTAATATTGAAGATGAAGATTCGTCTGTTGGTTCACCCCCAACAACAATCTTCAAATCCTCATAATCAACAACACTCTTTTCTCGAAGTTCACTGTGACTTGGGTGGGACTAGCAAAGAACAAATTATTCATTGTTAATATATTGTAAATAATATATTGTACTAAACTAGTAAGCTATTAATATATTTAAAAGATTATGAACTAAGCTCACCTTCAAGTAATCTTTCCATACTTCATCACTAGCAGTGAACGTCTTTGCAATTGGGTCCCACCCAAAGCCAGAGTTGTCGCATAAGCGTAGACATCTTGTTATATTGCTTCTTAAACCACTTCATTCGGCTCAAGTAATTATTATAAGTTTTTGGGAACCTAATTTTCGCATTAAGACGAGGAAGTATCAATCTTTCTACATTTTGCTTGCTAAGTGACCCATTAGCATCACGCAATCCACTATTGATAGCATCCACCAAGAGGTGCAACTACTCATTGGTATCGTCCATGGTCCAAGATTCATAGTTCTCTTTCTCTTTGCCCTTTCCTTTGTTATTTCCTTGTTGTGAATCCCCCATTAAATTACTACTACAACATATGTAAGAAATTTATTAGTTATTTCACAAGAATACATATCATACCAAACAAGAAAAGAAAAGAAAAGATTTTCACTCATATTTTCTATTTTCTATTTTCTTTCTAACTTTGGTAAATATTAGTTGGATATCAAGAAAGAAAGGGAGTACTGGAAAACTGATTTACCACAGACAATAATAATGCTGAATGAAAAAGGAAATCTCCTTAATGAAACCCAACAACAATAATAATGCAAAACCCGTGCTTCAAGACCCAGTCAGTTCTCTCTATCTCTCTCCATACAATACAAACATGAAAAGGTTTTCTTTTTGCGGTTTGATTTCAGTTCTCTCTCTCTCCATACAATTCAAAACCCAACAACAATTGCTTCAAGATGACACCAGACCTGGACTCTTTTATTTTATTTTTTTTTGTTGGTTGGTACACTTCCTATCAGCATGGTTAATGGAAGTAGCTCTCTAGTCAATCTCAAACCCATATATAAACAATCAGCATGGTTATGAAGTCAACAAACCACATATAAATAAAACAATCAGCATGGTTACGAAGTCAACTAACCACATATAAACAATAGACATTATGTATAAACAAATCTTTGTTCTTTCTCGAAGGGCCATAGACACAGAGTCAACAAACCACATATCAGCATGGTTAAACAATCAACAAACCACTCCATACGCCACATATAAACAATCAACAAACCCACGAAGTGCCATAGACACAGACCATAAATCGAAAAAGGCATATAACAAATATACAGACAATAAACACAAGAAGACATAGCACGAGAAGGAAGCAATACCTTGTTGAAGAGCTGTTTATCTTCACGAAGAGCTGTTCGTCTTCTCTAGCAGACAAAAAAAAATCTCACGTGAAAAGTCTGATGGGTTAGGGTGGGATTTTTGATAGGGTTTGGTATTTATACCTCCCACTAAAAAGTCACACCAATTCCCTATTTAAAAAAAATCCTTCGAAATTAGCAAGTTTTTGAATACCAAAACACTTTTTGTTACTTGTTTAAAATCCTAATTGAATACCACTAGATTTGGACACCCTCTTTAAAAAATCCTAATAGTCCTGATTGAATACCACAAGACTTGTTAACATTATTTAAAAGTCTTAATTGAATACCACAAGACTTATTTATCCCAAAATAGTCTTTTAAAATCCTAATTGAATACACCCCCCTAATTGAAGTCCAACAAAGGAAGCCTAAAAGCCAATTTTTCTCACACTTATACAAACTTTCCAAAGTGCCCTAAACTATTAGGACAAGAATAAAAATAAAACTAAAAATGTTTGTCGCATTCAAGGTTTGACTTATAATTGAGGGCATAATTGGATTTGGAAAATATGATTATATATAATGTTTTTTTGGACATAAATATAATTAGATATCTTGTGTAGCTATGAGATGTGTGTTGCAACTAAAATTTTTTAGGAAACACAAAGGGCTTGTAGTTTAAGTGGAAGAAGAGGGAGAAAAAAAAATCACAAAAAACATGAAAAACGTAATATATAATGAATGCAGAAAGCCTCTCCTAAACAATAGACGACTAAAACTAACAACTGGAAAACAATTCAAATATTTGTATTTCAAATACAAAGTCATAATGTAACAACTCAAATTATGATTTTGTAGTTTGATTAAGTTCCAATTTGGTCACTCTAATTTCAATTGCTACAATATGAATCATGTAGTTTACTAATTATTGCAATTTAAGGACAAAAACTTAATTATGAAAACTTTTTATATAGAATTAGCACACTAGCGTCTGTGGTGTTTTTACTCTTACAAGAATCCCAATTAACTCGCATGATAATTATGTAAAAAATGAAGGAAGTTGAGGTACCACCCCAAATCCAATTGGCAATGGGGGAGTAGCTCAACTCCTTGGCAATGGGGGAGTAGCTCAACTCCTTATAAGCCCTTGCTAGGTTTCTCAACTTTCCAATGTGGGACTTTTTACCTTCACATTCTCACACGCCCCCGCACATGTGGCCGTTGGATTTTCAGACGTGGGCTAACCCACTCTGATGCCAGAGTAGGAAGTTGAGGTTCCACCCCAAAACCAATTGGCAATGGGGGGAGTAACTCAACTCCTTATAAGCAATTGCTAGGTTTCTCAATTTTCCAATGTGGGACTTTTTACCTTCACATTCTCATAAAAAAAGTGACTGAATTAAGTTATGGTTCTTAAACTACAACAATTACTAAACTACTAGGCCATAAAGGTGGTGGGAGTTAATCACTACAACTCCCAATCCACGAGGGAGCTACAAGTAAGCTACCCACCCATGGAAGAAGCTTGAAGACAAGAGCTCAAGCTAGGGCCAAATAGCCCAAACTAATCTAAATCAAGTGTGGTGACCAATAAGCCAATAAGCTAAGAAGGAGGCCAATTAGCCTACACTAAGCCATGTACTATTCTCCTCCAATGTAACAAAATCATTTTGTTCAACTATTGTCATATTGTCCTAAACCCCTTTCACACATAAACAATAATGGTATCAGAGCAACACACATCACACCTCTTAAATTCTAACAAGTGGTATCAGAGCTGGTTCAATCGCTTTGGGCGTAAGGCCTGACTCAAGTCTCTATCAAAGCTGTGTTCAATCAACTCTGGGCACATGGGCCGATTCTAAGGAAGCAAAGGAAGCAAGGTACGTGCTATCAATACTTAATTCAAGGTTTCAAGAAATCTAGAGAAGGGGAAGGAGATCTAGAGAAAGTTCTAGAGGAGGAGATAGTGAAAATAAAAAAGATGGCATGAGAAGAAAAATTTTCCTCCATGTGGGGTGTGCAAAAAGTTAAGACACCCAGAAAAAGAAGCCCAAATGTTGAAACTAAA